CCTTATCTTATATTAAAAATTAGAGATGGTATTAGTAGTCTTGAAGGGTCCTTAAGGATCATTTCTCTAGTTAATTAACAGACAGTTAATTCCTATCAGTTACAGGAATAGCATTGCATTGCTTGTCTACCCCCCAAAAAAAAAAAACTAAGAACAACATTACATCACGTGAGATTTTAAGATTCCCCAAGTACTTAAAAGAGCAGCTTCTGTAGCCCAAAACGAAAAATACCAATCTTGTCGGGTTTCGCTTGTTACGGGCTGGGATGATGGGCCGGGTTGAGGGCCCAGTTTGCTCTGCATCCGGCGAACACAACAACTCCATCAATTCTTATCCGTGGGTTGTGCCCGAAATTTGAATTCTTGGTATGTGCATAGGTTCCACCAATTTTGGGAGCATGTCCTATTTTCATCAAACAAAATCATAGATATTTTTGAGAAAATTAAGATTAGATGATGTGGATTACATAATATGGAAGTTTAAAATGGGTTATATATAGATTATGCAAGTTATATTTAAGATTTTAAAATTATTTAACAAATATAAGTTAGGTCTAACGAAAAGGGTTAATTCCTTCTAATCTGACGAATCAATAGTTAAATTCTCATTAAAAGAATTATTTACACTTAGCTGTCAATAATATCTCAAACATGATAATACATATGCCTAATAAAAAAAATTAAAATTATTTACGTTTATAGAAAAAAAATGGTGGGGGTTGTTGGACTGGCCTATACACCAACCCATGCAGTCTTGTTGGCCAACCCAACTCACGTGGGTAAGGCCATTTGATCTTAATTGGCTTAAATTTCAAACCCCATTATTTAATGACTTGAATTCTCATATAATTTTCATTAGATGCAATCTTGAAAGTATTTTCTCTAGAAACTGTGTCCCTTCATACCGCATATAATGATATACTCTTCGGATCTTACATATAAGACCAAATGATTAGGAGATCTCTTTAAAAAAAAAAATACAACACACATTTTTATAAATAATTAATTTAAATAAATTTATTACTTTTATAGATTTATTATCTAATTCTTATATATAATATAAAAAGAATATACTATCTCTGATTCTTAACATAACAGCTTATTTAAATTTTATTTTGATCCTAAATATAATACTCTAATATATTTTATCTCTAATATTTATCTTTTTCTTTTTCAAAGTAGTCCTTATAATAATAATAGTTTTAATCAATACACTTGATTAGTAAGGATATTTTAAAAAAATATTTATTTATTATGCATAACTAATTTAACTAATTTTTATAATAGATTTAAATTAATTAACTAATTCTTATATTAAGAATTTTGAAATTCCAAAAAAATCTTCGAGCTAGAAATCATATCCAAATTCCTTTTCTCTGGCAAAGGAAAAAAGAAAAAAGAAAAAGAAGCAAACTCCTCTGTTTGGATGAGACATAAATTTGGAATTCAGTTAGATTCCCTCTGATTAGCTGGCAACCAGTTCTTGATAGGTTTGTGAGTTGTGACGAACTCTTTGGGGGTGATGCTCGAACCTCATGATGTGACAACTCTAGTTCTAGACTTCTAGTCACCTCTATTATTGGACAAAAACAAATTAATATAAATGTAATAAATACAGTAATTCAATTTAGGAAACGATTAGATATATGTCAAATTATAATTTTAAAAATAATTTTACGATATACAAATTAAATATATACAAAAATTTATCTCAATTTATATAAAAAAAAGATTTTAGAAAGCATTTTGATATATCCAAACACCCTCTTATTATTATTACTTTTTAATTTTCTGCATTCTTCTGAAAATAATTTTTGCGTACAATACAACTAGAAATGACGAGTTACGTTTCATTAATTTGATAATAAAGTAGATACGAAATAACACGGAAAAAAAATTACATGCACCAAAGTCCAAAGTTTATGTGGATTGAGGGTAATGAAGTAGTTGTATGAAAGATTTCACTTAGCCCCTCCATACACATTAAATATCCAAATGCCTTTAAAAGATTCTGAAATGGCACTGCAATTTTTTAAGACTAGACTGAAATTGATTTGTCAAGACAGCAAACCAAATAGCCGAAATGGAGACCATTCTGCTAGGTGCTAGCACGAACTAACAAAAAATGCAGTGGTCGATGATTATTTCAAAGTCGCATCCCTCTACGATCTCTCCAGGTCACTATTAGGGGTGTTTGGATCGAACCAAACCATGATTTTAAAAGTATTTTTACAATTTATGAAGTAAATACGTGGAGGAGTTTATCTCGTTTTGCGGAAAAGTGTTTCTTAGAAGCACTTTTAAACATTCCCAAATACCCCCTTAGCGTTATTAGAAGTGTTATGGGTGTGTGTGTGGGGTGTATGTATGCGGGTTTAATCCTGCCTCTTATAACAGGAAAAAAAAGAAGAAGAAGTGTGAAATAGTGTGACTCTGCCACATGTTATCGCCACATTATGGTCACTGATCCAATAAGTTAGGATTGTTTAATGTGTGGAGTAAAATATGAAGTTTTCTTTTAAAAATTGTCACGTTCTTCATTTTACTTGTTAAGCACTTGTGGTTTGTGGTGGATAAATAGTGTGTGAAGATGAGTATTTGAATGAATGGATAAATAATTGGAAATGCTTGGTTAGCAAGGGAGAATCTAAATGCCTGTGGAGCGGATTAAGTGAATTTTTCACTAGATTTATTTCTTCATTTGAATAGTTTAAAACTTTGTAAAATTTTTCAAAAATACCTTTAGGTTTTATTTGGTACGAAGCATTAAAAATAAAGGATGAAAATTGAGATTGAAAGTGTAAAACTATATTAAAAGGGTGTTTAATATGAGTAATTATATGATACCTGGAATTAGACAAATCCATATATGTGGGATTGGAAAATACCATAAGAGGAGGTAGTATTCTCTAATCCTATCTATATGAGATTACCTAATCCTATGTGATAAGAAATCACTCATGCTAATCATACTTTTAACATACGTTTTCAACCCTAATTCCAATCCTCACCCTTCATTTTTTATGCTCTGTACCAAACGTAACCTTAAAATTTTAAAAGCCTCAATCAGGAGTGATAATAAAAATATGTTATCATTTGCCTTTTAAATGTTGTTAATTGCTATTATAGTATAGCAAGTAATACTGATTTGACATTTTTTGAAATTCAAAGGTATTATTTTGAAATTCTTCCTAAACCTTTTGAACTTTCAAAATCATAAAATTACTTAATTAATTTTTTTTACTTTGAATTAAATTTGCATCCCTATTATGGGAGGTGCCCATATTTAGTATATGACAGTATTTCAAATAAGATTGTTTCCAATAAGAGAATACCTATAAATAGAAAAAAATTTGTATCCTATGAAAAATTTGTTAGTGAATAATTTGTTAGTATCTTTTTGAGCATTTTTTCAGCTTTAAATAATGCTTCCAAATCTTAATAAGGAGAATGACAAAAAAAGAAGATGGATATTATAAATCTCAAATCAGGTTTGGTAACAAAACTTTATTTGGTATTGACAAGTCAGAATATGCGAACAACAATAAATTTTTGTTGACATTCCTTATTTGGCATTTACAAAATTCTAACTTCTTTTTTTGTTATTGTCCCTTCTTATAATATAAGTACTATTTAACTAATTTAAGTTGATTAATAAAACTAAATTAAATTAGTTCATTATAACAAATGTGATTTGATATTATATTTATGACTATCTAATTTTTATGTTAAGAACTACAATTAAAAATAAAATTAGCACAAAACAAAACTCAATTAAGTAGAAATGTAGAAATACCTACGCTGAGATGGTGCAAAACATATTGTTTCGACGTAACCTCATTCTAACGGAGCCCTGAAAAAAAAAATAGAGTATATAAAAAAAAAGAGATACTCTTTTCTTTTTTTCTAAAAAAAATTTTAACGAACCTTTTGAACTCAACTCCCGTGGATACTTTTTTTATTTAAAAAAAAAAGAAAAAAGAAAAAGAAGCTGCGGGCGGGATCCACAAATTTCGTCAACGTTTTACGTTTGGTATGAATGCTAAGCTGTAACAACCAAAGTTGTGTCTCCGTTAAGATATACTACTCTCCTTTACCTAATATAAATCTTTAAAAAAGACTACTAAAATAAAAAAAATTACGCATAGAAACCTATTACAATATTAGAATGGGTTTTGATAATATTTTTTTTAAACGGTCCTTGTGTGTAATTTTTCAATTTTTAGATTTTTTTAATGATTTTTTCTAATTTTTATGCAAAATGACACAAATTTATTTTTAAATAATGACTAAAATATAAGATCAGAGGGGATCTATTTTTTGGTGAAAAAAGGGGGATCTATTTACCCTGTAGATACTGTTCTTCAAACTAATTAACTAATTCAATGGTTTAAAGTTACCCTCAAGGCCAAAAACTTCAACTTTCTCTTTATTGAAATGAAAAAGGAATAATTATACTAACTCTTTTAATCAATTCAATTCAATTGATTTTTCAAAGCAAATCATTTGATATTATCAATTCGAGCTACATCAAGTTTTAATTGAAAGAAAAATATTAACACAATTTTCCTGCTCATTTCCTTGTTAAATTGATGGAAAAGTCGCTTATACGTCATAGCTGACAAAAATTAAATATAAATAAATGTCTCAAGTTTCATTCAATATTAGTATTAAGTTTTAAGAATTTAATATTTATAAATTGCGTTATTTACAAATTAAATATAATAATTTGTTATTTATAACTTATAAGTCGAGTTTTCATTTTTTTTCGGCCACAGTCAGATTTTCATATTTACAATTTAAAGTTATGTTTTTTTTTTTATATACTAAAGTTATGTTATTTACAAGCAAATGTTAAATTATTATTAAATGAGATTTAAAACATTTATTTATATTTAATTTTTTATATGGGTAATTTTTCTTAAATTGATTCTATATTGGGGAAAAAAAAATGTTAAACTGATTCTAAACCGTCCGTTTTTGGTTGGGAACAAGAAAAAAAAGAATTCTGAGCTTCCCAGTTCCGAAGTTCGAACCTAGTCAATTCGAAATGGCTCCTGTGTGATTCAAGCTTCCCAGTGCGCAAAGACTGATCGAAGACCCAGAAGAAAAAGGGAAATAAGGCATTGAATAAATTTGCGTGCCCGTTTCGAAGTTTCAACTTTCATGGATTTCGTTTTTTCATCCAAGTTAGTGTTTTACACGTTCCCATCGTTCTTGGTCCAATTCGCCGCGTAAACCCTTTTGACAAGATAAGCACGCAATTAGTGCCCATCATCTTACTATTTGGGGGAATGGTATAAAAGAAACATGTTCATGAAGATATGCCATGAGATCTCCATTCTGTTTTACGATCAGTAATTGGGAAACACCTTCAATTCGTTGATTAGGAGAACTTGCGTTGCCAGGGCAATTTAATATGAGTAGCAATGGCCAATCTTCCGTTAACAGCTATAACATCAGAGACTTAATCTGCAACGCCGGCGCTGGTGCCTCAGCTGGTAAGCGTTTTTTTCAGCCTGCCTTTCCAAATTTGAGGTCTTTTTTTTGGGGGGGCTTTTGTTAATTTGTTTAATCTGATTTATAATTGTCATTTTTGGTCATTTCTATTAATTTACTAGAGTTTGTGTTTTTTGGTAAAGCGCTTGTGTTTTTGCACTAGTTTGATTGGTGTTTCTTGCTACGGTTATGACTTACTGCTAGAATATCTGGCAGTGTAAGACTTGCTTCTGGATGATTAACTTGATATCATTGCAGGGGCAATAGCGGCCACATTTGTGTGCCCATTGGATGTCATCAAGACTAGACTACAAGTTCATGGTCTTCCCCCTGGGCAGACAGGTATGCTAGATTTCCCTCTCTCTAAAAGTTAGTTCGCTTTGCCATCAGAACAGGCTTCAGATTTTCTAGTTAATTACTGGAGTTGAATTTGGACAGATAACAAGTCAGAGAATTGGTATCAGAAACCAGAATTTACAACGTAAATGGTTGGCATAAGTTTGTGAATGTGATACATAAACTTTATAAAGAAGCAATTGTTCTCTTGTGAAACACAAGTTTATTGTCAAGTTTTGGCAGATGTATAATCATTTAATTTTATGTCATGTGTCAGCACTGCAATTTCGATATTAATGCTTTCTGTCTTTCATTTTTTGAGTGATTGTTTACCAAAGTAACTTTTGTTACTCTCTTAGGCAGTGTTATCATCACAAGTTTGCAGAATATAGCCAGAACTGAAGGTTTCAGGGGGCTGTATCGTGGACTTTCACCAACAATACTAGCATTACTTCCAAACTGGGCGGTATGTCACTCCTCGTGCTGCCTCTAACTAAATCTTTATGCTATGATTAGTAATCATGATGGCAAACATACTAGGTTCTATAAGCTGGGTGATGGAGACGTATTTTTTATTCTGTCTTGCTTCAGCGTCAATTTGTTTTGCTATTTTATATTCAAATAATCTGAAAGAAGCCTAGCCATAACCCCAGTTCCTTCAATTTGGGTTTACACAGGAAGCATTTAGAACAAATTATAATCTTCATATTAATTTCCCATTTGCCACATAGTCCTATCTAAGCCTACATTTTTCACCGGCCTATATTGTTCATTATCTCCAGTCACTGAATTCGTGGTCCTCCCCTTTTCACTTTCTACTTTTCATTTATTAATATACAAGTAGTTATGGAACCTCATGGTAACTTCTGTCTCCTCTACTGCTTAACTCTGGAAGGATAATCAGGTTTTTGCTTTCTTTTCAGTGGGAAGATTATCAATTAAAAGCAACCTCTTTGACAATATTCTTTGTTTACTGATTTAGAAATAACTGTTGACTGTAATTGAAAATGATTGCATATTTTTCTCTCTATGGCTGCTTTTATGATTTGCTTTGTACCCTGTAAGACCTACTGAGGTTTGAAGAAGTAGCATTTAAAGCAACAAATGATTTCGCATTCCAGCTGGAGGAATGTTGGTTTCCATCCCCTAACAGTGGAAAGTAGTTCAGTACACATTCTTTTACATCAACAAATGACAAACCAATGGAATTTGATCTCCTGCTCAGTTTTAATTTTATAGATCCTTTTGTGTCATTGGTTATACGTCAGGGACAATCATCTAATATCAGAAAATGAATAATCTTTCTAATATTGTTCAGTCATTTGTTTGAAACGGTTTTCAATCATTCAGTGACTAAATTTTGCCTCAATTGTAGGTTTACTTCACAGTTTATGAGCAACTAAAAGGCCTGCTTCGTTCACGTGGTAAATGTTATTTTAATGCCATTTACTTAATATATCATATGGTTTCTTGATTACTTCAAATTTGGAAGCATCAAATTAGCATACTCGATTTTCTTGTTGTGTATAAGCCTTAATTGAAATTTGCTATATTTGACTTTATTTTTGATGACATTTTTCATTGGTAAACTTGTAGCAGATGGTTGCCACCAACTCACAACTAGTGAAAATATGATAGCTGCTGCCGGTGCTGGAGCAGCCACAGCAATTTCAACAAACCCATTGTGGGTTGTTAAGACCAGACTTCAAGTAAGTTGATTTTCAATCTTGCAGGCATGTATATGAATTTTATACAGTTATGCCTTTTTTCTATCAATTTAATTTTTTATTAGCTTAGCTATATCTAACTGTACACGTGATTGATTAGTCCTGGAAATTTGCTAGGTTTCGTGCTTTGATCTGCACCCCTTGGCTGCCTCTCATTGCTTTGAAGCACTAAAATATTTAAAAATTGTCGCTCCTTTATTTTGTTAACTATTTCATAAATGCTCTTGTTTCCAAGTCGGAGAAGCAACCCCATGTTTGCCCTCAACACATTCAAGTCTAGTAGTAAAACCCCATTTATCAATATTCGCATTGCCATTGCTGTGTCCTCTGTTATGAACATGAACTGTTGAAATGTTCAGTTGAACTTCTCGTTTTTTCCTTCTGGGTAAACTGAAATCTCAAGTTACATCAAGTGATAAGTTGCATAATTTGCCTACGCATTCTGTTAATTGTCCACTTATCCTTAATGTTCCTTAAATTACATGTCATAGATGTTTTGCTCTTTTCTTCATTTTTATCTTGGAGAATTATTGATGTCTTTTTCTGTAACTAATAGACACAGGGAATGAGGCCAAATGTCGTTCCTTACAAGAGTGTTCTTTCTGCTCTGACAAGGATTACTCGTGAGGAAGGCATGCGAGGATTGTACAGGTCAGTTTCTACTCATATTTAACTAAATCTCTTTTGGGATTTTTGCTATGAAATTAAATGGGTAAACGTTGTATACTACTCATTCTTTTTAACTTGTGTTCATCATGGTTTGTATTTGCATTGCCTATGTGTCAATGAACAATTTTTTATGGGTGCTAAATAAGGTGAATAAAAAATAATATTGAGGAACTGAATTTTTCTTTCTCTATTAAAGGTAATCACTAATTTTTTTTATCTCATAATATTTGCTTTGTGTGTGTGTGTGTGTGTGTATTGTATTATGGATAAGTTAAACAAAACTTTCTTGAAAATGTGCAAATAGCCTCGACTTTTAAAACTTGATGAGGAACCCCCTTAACTTTTCAGATTTGTGCAGATAACCACCATGCTGTGAATTATTCCGTTATTTTGCTAATGTAGCATAGTATGTTATTGATCAAATACCCCCTGCAACTATGTATATATGCAGATAACCTCTTTAAACTTGTGAGTTATATGTAGGTAATCCCCTAAACTTTTAAGTCATATGTAGATATACCTTTTCTCATATTATGTTATTCAAGTGAAGTAACAAACAAATTAATGGTAGGGGAGTTATCTACATAAATGTGAAGGTTTAGGGGGTTCATTGTAAAGTTCTAAAGGTCAAAAAGCTTATTTGCACATAACCCAAAGCTCTCAAGGGAGTGTTATGTATAATTTAGCCTTACATTATAATGACCTTAAACTATCTCACTAATTAGTATGCAACATCATCAAATGTTTATGGGATGTGATACGAGGTCCATTAAACATGTTGACTTTGCTTTTCACTAAAAAGAGGAAAAGAATTGTACCACCAAAAAAAAAAAAAAACAAAAAAACAAAAAAACAAAGAGGAAAAGGATTGAAAAAGTCTAGTTTAATCAAGCATAGCCTTTAGCCAGGATCTGATGGATCACTTGGCTAAACAAGGATATGTGGTGAGATTATAAAGTCCATAGTATGAATCAATTTCTGTTTTTAGCTAAAAGTATGAACTGATGTCCATTAGCAAGGTGAATAGGAAAAAAGTGGCTGTGTTCCATCTAATGTGGCCATCCCATAATAATTCAAGTTTCAATGTGTCTGCTTTTGCTTTGTATCTCCCTCACACCAAATGACCAGGTGCACTTAAACTAAGCTGTCTCGCGCATAGAAAATGCTGACTAGAATGAACTCAGTGAATCGAATCTAGAAAAAGAAATGTATAATTGGAGCTTAATTGACCTGTTTCTGCGCTTGGTTAGGGTCATGAGTTTGTTTTGTTTTTGTGTATTAATGTTATGAGTCGAATACCTTCCCTAGTAATTTAAAGGGGAGTGCCCCCGCTCCCCAACCTTAGCTGATGTGTTTATGTTTAGAATATTACAATTGGATGGATCCAACTCGGGTTGTAAGGATGTAGTTTTGCCATTTAGCAACTGAGCTAATCCTTTTGAATACTCTATAATATTTTTTTTCTTTGTGATGCAGTGGCATCTTGCCTTCATTGGCCGGCATAAGTCATGTTGTAATACAATTCCCATCTTATGAAAAGATTAAGTCATACATGGCAAAAAAGGGTAAATATGATATCTGCAAATTATTTTATTCCCTGTCACAAGTGATGCTTTCCTGTTTCCTCATGTTTACATGCTTATCTAATGAAAATCTCAAATAGTTCAGAAAACACTACAGTTGACAAGCTAAGTCCGGGAAATGTTGCCATTGCTTCTTCAATTTCCAAAGTAATTGCCTCTGTAATGACTTATCCTCATGAGGTATGTCTAACATTGTCTGACTAAATTTCTACGGGAAGAAAACTCAGGATTTTTATCAGCATCACACCTTTGATTTCACAGGTCTTAACCCCTACAATTGTGTTTCCAGGTGATACGATCCAGGCTACAGGAGCAAGGACAGGCCAAAAATATCAAGGTCCGGTATGGAGGGGTTGTTGATTGCGCTAAGAAGGTGTTCCAGAAGGACGGCTTTCCAGGCTTTTATCGGGGTTGTGCTACCAATCTGTTGAGAACAACTCCATCGGCTGTCATCACATTCACCAGTTATGAAATGATATACAGATTCTTCCATCGTTTTGTTCCTCAGGACAATGTATATCCACAAGGCTATCCTAAATCTACTGATATTAACAAGCCCAAGCCGGAAGACAGTGATGACATGAAGTTTGAAAAAGGCCCTATGGTATGATTCTAGTTGGTAAGCATGGGACTGGGGTTCATCTCTATCCTCGTGGAGTGAAGCTTGTGCTAAGTGGAATCTGCCATGGCTGAGGTCTTGGGCTCTAGTAAATATCAACTGTTATAAATTTTTGTCGGGGAGTCGCTGTTCAAAAGCCACGTCAAATTCTTGTACCTTCAATGGGAGACTCAAGTTTCATAGCTACAATCAGACCCAGAATGGCGGTCATCACCATCTCAATCTGATGGGTGAGGAAGCTTCATCAGTTCTTCTAGGAAATAAAGAGCGGCTAACTTGATGTTGATACTTGAAGTTATCTTCCTAAGTAATGTTTATTCTCTCTCTTTCTCTCTCTGGGATTTGTAACTGTAAGTGGCCGGATTTTTCTTTTCTATGATGCAAATTCTTTGATTTATCATAAATGGTGGAGTATGTTGGCTTTGCCCCCACCAAAAGACGAATGGGGTTTTTTGTTGAGTAAGGATAGGAAATTTTTCTTGGGTAGAATGAGTCTTATCTTCGGTAATTGATGAGATATCTATTTGTGTTCCCTCTTTATGTTGCAAAATTCAATATCAAAATATATGGAATAACTGTCCCTATTATTATCCTTAACTAAAAGTGTCATCAGATATGAAATTCCGAGTGTTTCCAACACCGACTTAATAATCAACATTACTGTAACTAGAATTGTCACCATCATTCTGCGAAGAACAATTTTAATTCCTTTCTTAGTGTTCCTTAACCCGACAAATGATTTGGATGGCACTGCTTTAATATTTTTTGTACTGATGATTATGGATTGCTTCTCTTTCCAAATGATGAAATTGAGGTTAGAGTATTAGATTGTTATAAATTGTTGGAAAAGTTTATCTGTTAGTCTTTAGTATTGTTAATTAGGTTTACACAATATTTTCCTCCTTTTCATTAGGTTCTCTGAGTTTTACATGAAGGTTCAATTTCAAGTGAATAATAAAAAAGAAAGCTTTCAGGAACTTGATTAAAATTCATGTAAAACTATAATGACTTGATATTTAAAAAAAAAAACTATATTGACCTAACTAAGAATTAGATGAAATTATATAGGGACTAAAGATTGAAGAAGTGGGATTAAAAGCTTTTAATTATTATTTTTTCTCTTTTATCTTACATATTCTTTTTATCAAAATTTTATAATCCTATTTTTTAATTTTTTAAATAGAGTTTATTAAAATTTTTTTCTCATTCCTTTCCTTCCAATTCCTTCATAACAAACATAGGGTGAGGGATTTACAAATTAATTTTTCCTATGTAACAAATTAATTCATACCTTATCACAAAAAAAAAAATTAATTCATTCCTCATATTTTCTACTCTATCATATTCTATTTCAAGTTTTATCAATTTATCTATATTTTGAACTTTTATTATTGTGAATTTGTACCAAACTTAGAATCATTCTCACTCAAAATGTTGGGTTTGCAATCAACTTTTGTTTAAAATTAATTCAAACAATGACAATAAAGATAGGAGAGAAAACTTGATGAAACAAATGCTTCGGTGGTGACAACAATAAATATGGATCCAACTTTACCAATCATACTCTAAAAATCATCATTTACAGATCTAACAAACATATTTCACTTTTTTTTTTGGTTACAGATTTAAAATATAATATCCTTCCAAAGTCTCATATAACAATAACAAGAGATATAAAGGGCACATCCTAATCTATGAATAATCTGTTCTGCATAAAAGCCAAGGTGAGTCAAGTAGTAAAGGAACTTAAAGCATATGTGCATTATTGATCTCAAGGCTGTGACTTAGAATAGTGTTTTATTTTGGGCCTACACTAAGCTTTTGAGAAGTAGATAGTCTTTTTCTTTTGTTGGTTGATCAAAGAGAAGTGGATAGTCTTTAATGGCAGGCAACATCCCAAAGTGATTGTTGTGTGCATATTTCTATAAATCTCTGTCTTTGCCTTCAGAGCCCTTTTTGACGTCGTTGATTGATTGTTCTTGCTTTACCATTACACTCATTCTTCCACGTCAAATCCAACATGTCCCACTCTCCTCTCTTTTTCATTTACCTTCCTCACTTTAACTTTTCACTCCCACTATTTTTCTTCCTAAAAAGAATAGGATATACATTAAAGAATGACTTTTCCTTGATCCTATGTGTCTTCATAATCATTTAGAAATTACAAGATATGTGCTCATTTGATTGAACTACACACTGTACTTCTCTAATTATGTTATCATTGAAAGATTTAGTTATTTATTTGGGTCCCTTTATTTTCTTTTCAATTGGAAGATACTACCTTTATTCTTTTATACATGATGATTTTTTCATGATGATATGTTCCTATTTATAATAGATATTAATAGTTCGTCTGAAATTTTTAATATGTATTTTTTTAATTTTTTTCCATTAATTATTAGTTAGCATCATCACATTAGTTATTGGTTAGTCACTCACTCATGACTCATCCAGCTTTTTATAAATAAGGGTACTTTAAAAAAAAGTTATTTTTTTTATATATTTATTGTTTCTAATTGATTTCAACCGATTTTTAATATACATAATTCCATTATTTGTATACCATAAAAGTTATAGATGAAATAATACAGCAATCATGGCTGAGTTTATAATTCACTTCGTAGTGTCTAAATAAATATGATATAAATTGTCTCATCCTTACTCTTTCTTTTAAGCAAGTTTCCCTGGATATTATGATCTGTTTAAGATCCATTTGAGAGTATCTTAAGTAATGCACTTTTTGGACTAGTCAAAAGTAAATTCCCTTGCTTTTTCAATGTCCATCATCTTTAAACCGTCTCGTGATTTATGGATAAAAACAAAAAGAAAAGGTTTTTATACTCACAACAATTTATAATTAGGTGCTCTTAATATGGTAATACTAGTTGGTAATTTTTACTACAATTTGATTGCTATTCAATTGATCATGCTTATGGCCAAAGATAATAGGGATAATTAATCTCCGGGTCCTTATAATTTCATTTGATTTTTAATTGGGTCCTTATAAATTTTTTTCTTTTTATCAGGTCCTTTTACTTTCGTGTGTTTTTAATTAGGTCCTTCTATTTTTTTTTCTTTTTATCTGGTCCTTATAGTTTCATTTATTTTTTAATTAGGTCCTTTGTAGTTTTTAAAAAATTATTTATTAACTTTATTTTTAAAAATTAATTTCATTTTTAAATTAATAATTACATAATTAGACAAAATAATTAATATAATCATTTAGTAATCAATAAATAATCAGAATAATAATTTTACTTAAGTATAAATTATTTATAATTATATTTTAATTTAAGAAAAAATTATTATTGTAATTTGAATCTTATAATTATAAAAATTAGAATTGAAAATAAATAATATATTTGTTTGACTAAAAATTTAAAAGAATATTAACATAAGATTGTTACAATAATTTATTATTTTTAAAATTTTATTATTTATAAAATAAAGAATAAAAACTACAAGGATCTAATTAAAAACAAAGTAAAACAATAAGGACCTGATCAAAAGAAAAAATATTATAAGGACCTCATTAAAAATATGTGAAAGTATAAGGACCTGATAAAAAGAAAAAAAATTATAGAGACCTGATTAAAAACCAGTTGAAACTACAAGGACTTGCATATTAATTATTCCAAGATAATATTATATTAATAGAATCAATAATGTCAGCATTTAATCGGCCAAAAAATAGCATAAACCATTATCTTGGAGAGGATTATAGGCTCGAATCTGACGTTGACCTGTATGCGGATGCATGTTAGAATCACATGTATATTTGGAAAATTAATTTATAGTTCTTTTGTTTTTTCTAGTTCTTAATCAGAATTTTTTATATTTTTTTAGTCGGTACTTAAAATATAAAGACTTAATTAAAAATAAGATGAAATTATAGAACTGGTATATTTTTTTTTCCCCGTTTTTACTAACTTAACGTCTTCTATTGATTAAAAAATATAAATTCCTTTTCGCAATAGACCTACAGATTTCGATTACTTCTCGAAGTTATGCAATACAATTTTTCAGTGATTTTCACATAACATTTTACAATATCCGAAGTAATGCCAACGTATATGCCTCTTGATCTTTGTATAGTTAATAAAGACATATATATATATATATATATATATCTTCAGTAAACTCATCTGAGCATTACCGGGCATACAGAGCAGGAACAGAAAAGGGGAAAAACCCACATTTTAATCCGGAAGTACAATTCTATGCTAATTATCGTATAAGATTAAGGATAATGCCACAGTAAATAGTTTTAAAATTCTAGTTAACAGAGAGAAATACATTTGGATTCGATTAGCTGGGGAAATTGGAGATGGCATGAAACAGAGAGATCTTTATTCCTCTGGAATGGTGACCAGAGCTGGGCGCCAAGATTTCCTCAATAACGACCTGTAACGGAAACGCGTCCAACCCGGTTTCGGTGACCCGAGTCCGTTAATCGAACCCACGAAGGAATGGAACTCTCTAGATGGAAGCTTGTTGCTCTCGCTGATTTCAGTGATTTGTCTCTCACCTCCTTCTTCGTTTGGAAGCGAGGACCCGAACAATTCTTTCAGTGAGTTCCTCCGCATTGAATCTTTCCCGCTATCCTCCTCCTCCGATGAATCCATCACATGCTTCAGCTGAAAGGTCGTCTCTCGCCGACGAGGTGATCGGCTACTGGTGCTCCGGCAGAGAAGCATCCGCAAGGTGGTTTTCCGGCGCTGAAACTGAACCAGCGGGCTGGTCCTGGGGCTTCGTGTGGGGCTCTGGACGACGCCGCATTGCATCGCCAGGAGCTTGAATTTCTGCAGCGTCGCCATCTAAGCGTAAGTCCCTCTCTCTCTCTCTCTCTCTCACTATCCTTCCCTCCCTCCCTCTGTGTCTGGCTGTGGCTCTCAAAGTCTGCAAGAGACTTCAAATTTTATTGTGCTGTGGTGGTGGTAATTATAAGGGGACAATTGGGAATCGATTACTTCTAGGAGGGAAAACGGGATCTGTTTTGGGAATGGTTACATCTTTGAATTATTTTCTCCGGGTCTGATTTTGATTGGTGTGCTTCTTTTATTTTCTCTCTGTCTTCAAGATTTCAAAGAAACAAAAGAGGTTCAAAAGCTTGAATGGCCAAAAAGAAAAAGCAGAGCAGTAGTGTGGCACATTTTGTGACGTGGGTTTATTTAGTAGGAAAACTTATAAAATCTGCTCTAGTTCTTCTCAATGAGAGCTTAACCTCAAATATAAAAATAAAGATTAGCGCTGAGAATTCCCCTAATTATGAAATCAATCCACTTAGAAGTTGGAAAATCAGTACAAGCCAAATAAAAATTGCACTTAAAAATATTCCCTCCACTAGAAGTTTAAAAGGTATTTTTTGGCCAACTTCCACCTTAAGAAAATAGTTAACATCATTTAAAATTACCTGCTCCTTCCATGGTTACTCTTATTTAACAGGGTAGCCTAATCATAAATACACATAAGATATTTCATTAATTTCAAATATTCTTTAAAGATATCTTTGAAAAACAATTATTAATTACTCCCAAAAATCACCAAGATGTCTTATATCTTTAATTCTGGAAATAGTAGAAAAATGTTTAATAATTATGAAGGAGGGGGTATCTTCTAAAATCAAAACTGAGGCACTAAATCTAAGCATGAAAGTTAGTTTCCTTTTTTTAAAAAAAAAACTATCAGGAAGCTGGATAACATAACATGCATTTGAAGGTAAAGGCTTAGGCAATTGGGCAATCTGTTGAGAGGCTTAGAGAAGATGTTGTAGTCAGAACAGCTACGATGGGAGACACTTCTGTAGTCATAGAGTGAGGCCGCATCTCAACAGGGGATCCGTAAGCGTGCTTGTGATAGTCAAAGACACTGCAAATTTTAGAAATCCACAAGAGCTCTGGAAATTCAAGGTCACGAACCATGACTTCATGCTCATGATCCTTCTCGGAAGTATTGCCAATTTGCAACCATCTTTTGTTTCCTAGTTGGACCTCTTTATGTGCACTTGAGTTGTCACAATCTCTGAGGGTAACCCAAGTTACTAAGCTGATTTACACGGGCATTGACCGAGGAAGGTCTACCAGGAACAGAATCATACACTCGTCCTCCTCATCAGGGAGATCCAAAGTCTAAATTCTTTCATTGCCCAGCTTACAACGCTCCTGATTCCAACATTAAAAGAGTTTTAGAGGCCAAAATTCCTAATCCTGAAGCGAATTTCAGACCAAATTGGTGGACCATCATCATAGACAATCACAATTTTAAGGGACAACGCAGAGGTGTGACATGGATCGGGCATCCCAGAAGCTGATTTGGAGAAGACCGAAAAATTTCAACAGCTTACTCTCACTTTACTGCCTGCGAGCGGCTCTTGTGGGGATCACCAAGCCTCCATTTCATGAAAATCATCCCGGAGCTGCACTTGACATCCAAAGTGTTAAGAAGAAACTGACTCTTCCCTCTTCTGCTGAAGTCGGAGGCGTGCTTATGACAGATATCTCCATATCTTCTCACTTCTCTCATTTTCCCCCCTCTTAGATGGCCCTCATGTAACATCTTCTATTAGTCGTAATGTTTTACTTAGTAGTAGTCCTGTTTTTCATGGCTATGTACGAGTAGCTCACTAATTCTGTCTCTACTTTCTTGATTAATGCATTTTGTCCTTTTATCAGGGGGAACAAAAGGACCAAGGAAGGTGAGGGGCAATATATTCTGAGAGCTTAGCTTCCTCGAACATGCTTCACTCTTTAATATTATTGCTTAGTCGGGTGTAAACATAAATTTCTTCGTCTGGTAGGGTCCTATACTAATTAAGTTTTCTTCAACAACGAATATTATTCAATTCAAATGGTTAAACTGACTAGTGATTACTTTGTCATGTTCTGCATTGATTCCATTCCTTGAAATATGCATGGCGTGAATATCATATGTACTGTTCAGATGACATTTGAAACGGAAACAGATCTTGCGATTTTGTGTTTATTTATTTTATAAGTTCAAATTATATGATTGCTTATTATATTTTTTGTACCATTTAAGTTGAGAATTACTAAAATTGAAGAAACCATAAGAACATTATCATTATATTACATTTTAGGAAAAATCACAAAAAAAGACTTTAAAAATAGAAAAATTATAAAATAAGGACTCGTTACAACATTAGTATTAGTTTTGACAATAATTGATAAGCAAATGACAAGTCCCTATATACAATTTTCCAATTTTTAAGGTCTTTTTTTTAGGATCTTTCCTAAATTTTATACATATTAAAAATAAAAATATTTGAAATGTAAAAACACCATACGTTAGGTTCTTGTTTGTCTCCACCTAAATAAAAAAACTATGCATTTTATGAGTCAAAACTCCTTTCGCTTAAATGTAAAATCATTTAAGATAAAAAAAAAATCAAACTCCCTAAAATGCCATTTAGTTTCAGTATGACCATGTAGAAAGCAAATGCTCAAACACATGGCTGATTGATTATTCAGTTCAGCTTCATGGCCGCTTGAGGCTAATAGTGGTGAGGTAAGGAATTGACAAAGGTTTGAGTTCAAACACTTAATAATAAAGAAAATAATTAATAAATAAAGTGATAAGTAATTTGTATATGTCGTCATGTATAAAAAGAAGCACAACCCTCAAGTCACATTCAATAATGTCTCGAAGGAAAACAAAACATTCTCATGACAGAATACTAAAATTAGTAGATAAGAAAGAAAATTCAGTACACACTAGACCAGGGGGCTGCACTTAAAAGATCCGTGATTCTGCTATTTAATAACTAAAGCTAGTCATAGAAGAATTCCAAACACACACACACCGAGCAAGATAGTTTAATATTTAATTATTCCACAGTTCCTTATTTACCTGCTTCTAAGCTGTATAATTTTTTTGCAAACAAATGCTGTTGACATGACGAGGATTTTCCATATAATGAATCATCATATGAGCAGTGGTACATATAGATGAGAGAGTCACTCATCCTCAACTGAGGATGGATGCTGACAAAAATTGTATTATTCTTTCTGATGCTCATAGGGCAGACTCAACTCAACAGAATCAAGTGGAAACTACTGAATCGAACTCCTTTGTGATGTACTGACATTAAGGTGCAATAAAACTGCTTTTTCCAATGGTGATCATATTGTATGGGGAGGGCCTTGTGGCTTTGAGTTCGTCAATGATCCAGTTCCATCCCTGTGTACTGAGGTTGGGAGAGATGTATGAATTTCCTTGTTTGAAAACTCAGTACCATGAAACTCTAGATGCTTAAGATCATGCTTCCCATTTTCTATTTTCTGCAGAATCTCCATTACTTCATCCATGGAAGGTCTTAGCTCCCTATCCCTTTGTAGGCACTGAAAAGCTAACTCTGCCACTGAGATTATCATCTTCTTAACCTCCTTGTCTGACTCAAACCCAAGGAAGGATCTACCAGTCAGTAAACGCTCTTCTTTGAATCTTGTTAACTGCCATATTTGCCAATTTAATCTCATCCTTGTCCCTTGTAACATCAATAGCTGGCTTAGAAGATATCAGCTCAATGAGTATGACCCCAAAGCTATATACATCACTCTTTTCAGTAAGCTGATAGCATTGGTGATATTCTGGGTCCAAATAACCTGGGCTTCCTGCTGGAGCTGTGGAGACATGAGAGACAAACTTGGGGAACAACCTTAAAAGACCAAAGTCAGCTACCTTGACACAAAAATGATAATCAAGTAGAAGGTTGCTGGATTTGACATCGCGGTGAATGATGTCACAAGCATGGAGATAGGACAATGCATTTGCTATCTCTATGGCAATCCTCATCCTCACATGCCATGGCAGTGACCAGGCTTTGCTAGATTGCATGGAGATGACAACCAAGAGTTCCATTTGGAATGTACTCATAGACCAGCAATAGTTCATTGACTTGCACGTGAAGTGCAGCCATACAGCGACACAAGGTTTTCTGTGGCGCAACGTGTGAGGATCTTAACTTCATTTATGAATTGTTGTACACGTTTATATAGTTGCGCTCAAATAGCCGCTTGACAGCAACTTCTCGTCCATCTTTAAGCTTCCCTGGTTGTTTTAAAATCAAACCAACAATTTGTTCATCAACATCTAAATCACACTTTTAAGAGAATAGGGCTTTTTTTTAGGTGGCTTACCATGGTAAACAGTTCCAAGCCTCCACTTCCAAGTTCTCTTGATTGATCAAATTTTTTGTTTGCTTCTTCGAGTTCCTCATAGGAGAAGAGGGCACCCCAAAGTAGATATTCTACTTTCTAGGATTGCATTTGAGTAAGTATTGATCACATTGATTGCTTCTTGAGCGAGTATTATCAGATTCAATGCTTCTTGACTGATTTTGTGAGCCTAAAGACTTGTAATCTCGTTTGTTCCGCGATAGAATAACGATCAAGCCAATTATAATGACGCCAACACTTCCAATAGCTACACCTATAGGTGGAAAAAGCTTTGAAATTTTAATCAATTCTTGGACTATATACAGCCACGAACAGAGTCAATCACTTGGAATGTTTTGAACGAGACCTTTCAACACAAACACTCACAAAAGACTCCTATATAAGAATTTCTATCTATTATTACGCAAAGTTTTACAAAATCATTTCAGTTACAGCGATTTGATTGCTTGGAAACTCATAAGCTCATTAACAGCAATAGTACTCTGGCATAAATGAAAAACATGAGACTCTTGTCTAATTGGGGGTAAATATGGGATGCATTACCTATTGTTATAGACTTGGATCGATTTTCTTGCACTCTGTCATCATCAAGGCAAAGATCAACAAATAAGATTTTCAAGATATATAATATGGAAAGCACGAGACTCTTATCTA